TTGTGCAGTGTAGCTGCTGTATAGCAGAGTGGCGCAGCGGAAGCGTGCTGGGCCCATAACCCAGAGGTCGATGGATCGAAACCATCCTCTGCTAGCACAATTGTTCAGCCAAAAGAACACTTTAGTTATTTAAATAGCATCTCTGGCAATAAACACCCATTGTTCTAGATTCCACAGGCTGGTTTCAGCGTCCTGGTCTCCTCTGGTCGAGAACATCCATGTTTTTCTTACATACATGCTGATTTTTTCTAATGGTGCCAGTGTTTTCAGTGCTTTGCATGACCATGTTTATCCCTGCTGGTCTTACTGAGCCAGTCCACAACATAACGGTGTGGCTGCACCTCAGTATCATTCTGCCAAAGGATGAAAAAACGTCCTGATTGTTTGTATTTCTTTCAACCAATCACAGTTGTTGTAGGTGGGGCTCACAAAGGATTCAACTTGGGTGTTAAAATAGTGACAAGTGGAATGGTTTTGGTGGAACATCTGCATGCAGGGAGCCGAGCACTGTGATTAAAATCTATAATCCACTGAAAAAATACAAGCAGGTCAGTCCTACTGCATGATCAGAATCATATGCAAAACCTACAGTTTCATTTCATTTTCAGTGTGGTAGGGTGATGCCAGAGGATGCTGTTGTTGTTCTCCATGGTTAGCAAAACTGTAACATACAGGTAGTGGAACAGGCCGACTGAAATGATTGGCCAGTGGCAGGCTTTCACCCACAACCTACAGCCGATGAGTCAGACTAATCCCCTGCTTTCATGTAACGCTCTATACTTCCTCACCTGTCTCTTTAACATTGTGCAGCGTGACAGCCAGTCAGCAGAGTGGCGCAGCGGAAGCGTGCTGGGCCCATAACCCAGAGGTCGATGGATCGAAACCATCCTCTGCTAGGAAGAGTTGCTTGGCTAAAGAAAAGTTTTAGTTAGTTAAAGAGCAGCCTCTTCATCAAAGATTAATAGTCTCTATATAGTCCTGCAGCTCTGAGTGACAGCAAAGTGCTGCAGCAGACCAGTGATGGGTCTATAACCCAGAGGGCAATGGATCCAAACCATCCACTGCTTGTTCTTAAGAACATTTCCGTGGGTTAAAGAGCAACTCTAGCAATGCACACCTCTGTCTAAAGTGAGTAGGTTGATGGGTCTTTAACCCAGAGGTCACTCAGACTGCTGAGCATTAACATTGCTGTATCATTAGATCACTGCTTTTATCTCATGGTTCCATCAGAGCTTTTCATTACCAAGTTAACTCCCTGTTGTTCATACCTCTCTATACATTGTCTCAGATATGTGTCCGAAATTGTGCGACACACCCTTGTAGAAATTTCTGTTACTTCAAAAGCTACTCCAGCAATTTGCCGTCAAAGTTACATAAAGTTGAAAGAGTGAGATTTCCGGGCTTTGACTCTCTATTGTGGCTCATCTCCTCAAACCATGAATTATACTCTATTTTCTATGTCAGCATGGCCACCACGATTGGGATGACAAAAAAGTCACAATTTTCCCATGACCGCAAACGGTACCCATGCACGGTACCCATGGACTGTACTCAGACGTGTAAATACACTGATCATCAACAACAGTAAAACCACACAGCCCAAGCATCTTTGCTCTATGGCATGTTTGTCTCACATTCCCAATGTTTTTACAGCTTTGTGTTGCGATGTTTACTCCTTTGTCTGTGTATATAGGTCATGTTAATGCTCAATGCTTCAGTAGAGGACAACTGGACCTTGAGGGTGATTCCGCCCTTGAAAATGTTTGACCTGTACCCCACGGGGCATCCTCAGGACGCCAGTTTGTCAGTTCTGAAGGAGCCTCATGGATTTGAATTGAAATGTTCTCAGGAACCAAAATGTGAAGTCCAGTTGGCCTCCACAGAAGCACTGAGAATATCTGCAACTTGCTGTTCATGTATCTCTGTTTATTGTTTTCACTGTGTCTCTATTCATGAGTCACTGAAGCCCCAGTGGCCTAATGGATAAGGCACTGGCCTCCTAAGCCAGGGATTGTGGGTTCGAGTCCCATCTGGGGTGTGTCACAGCAGGAAGTTGCAATCTGCCTATGACAGAAAGTTTTGGAGCATATTTACCCTGTAGATCAGTACTTTATTCATCCTCTTGGGGAAATTCAAGGTATCAAGCAGCTTACTCATGTTACTACAGGACAGATAGAGGAACAATGTGCAAATGGTGCTGGCCGAAGAAACAGCAAACAAACAATATCTCTTTGCTTCCTGCTAGATAAATACAGACTTTCCAGCCTTACAAGTGAGGGTTTGAGTCCCATTTTTGGTGAGTGACACTACAAAACTCTGCTGGACTCATAACCCAGAACACTGCTGTGTGAAAACCACCCTCTGCTATCTGTGCTTAAAGGCATTTAAACTCCTTTTTACAACAGAAGACAACCCTGTCCCTGTCCTGTTGGAAGGGAAAGGGCAGCATGTATCTGGACGTTCCAGCCTGTCCTACTTCTCATAATGCAAAGTTTAAATACATAAATGTTGGTGTTTCAGCCAAAGAAAACAAACATCACTATTAGTAAAAGTGATCCTGCTTCGGATAATCCGCAACAACAGTGACGTAAACAAAACAACGCACTGAGGCAACCATCTCTGGAGCCATCTTGATAAGAATCTCTGAGCTCACAGCAGCAGACTGTATGTGTTGTGGGGAGAATCTAAACGCTTTAGCTCCGTTTGCTTGGAGAGAATCGTGTATACTAGTATTCTTTCAGCAGATCTGTGACCAAATGTAGTATGAAACGTAAAATTCTGCATTTCAATAGGTTCATGTATTGTTTCTGTAATTGTCAGTTTTACATATTAACCAGTGCATGCACATAGTGTGTATCTGAACAGCTGTATTCAACTTTTCACTTTTGACAGACTCTGCTCAGAACTACGTGGGCATATGGTAGCAAATTTACATCTCATTCACTCTGCAGTAGCTTAAAAAACAGAGGATTTCTGTTGCAAAACCTACAATGAAAACTGTTACATCACTGATATTGAAGCACGTTACAAAGCATGGGTTGTAATCATACGCTGGTCAATAATGAGTTATTATATTTAGTACAAACTCACATCATTCTCAGCAGTCAATAAGTGAAGACACCCAAGTTGGTGTGCAGGATGTTTAAAATGCAATTCACACTGACGGTGGGTGAGTTCCCTTATTACATTCATCACCACCGATGTGTGTTAGAAAAATAATTGCAATGAGTGCAGCAATATTTCACAGCTAAATGCAGAAAAATGTGAGAGTCGTAGATCCACAGATACGAGTTCAGACTCACAAACATCCTAATTCACCCAAAATACACATCAAAGACTCACAACAGCATCGACCTGTTCCTGAACACACAAACACACACACACGCACACACACACTCGGAGCCGACCGGAGGACACTAGTGCGAATCCTCGATAATGAATAAACCCAGTGCAAGTGAATGTTGAGGCCAGTTGCCGTGGTAACCAAGGCTGAAGCATGAAGACGAACCCAAGGTGACCGACAGGGCTGTTGGTCACCGTGGTAACAGTAGAGCTATGCAGACATTACAGCAAAGAGGCGGTTAAAGCACTTTTAAGTTTTCTCAGTCTGCAAACTTTCCTCCGTCACTCATAAACACAGAAACACACACCGCCTGAGTTTCTGAACTCCATTCTTCTTCTTTATGAAGCATCCAGAGGCAGAACTCCAGCTGCTGATGTGACCGCCGGCCTGGTGTGATTAGCTTTTTACTGAGCATGTAATGTGTTTGCCATTTGACGCTGGTGTGTGGGTGGGTGTCTGTGTGTGTGTGTGTGTGTGTGTGTGTGTGTGTGCGTGTGCGTGTACTCACGCAGCTGGTCGAAGTGCGTCTGTAGTCCGTCTGGTCCTGGAACTGAGCAAACCATACGAGCCTTCTGGAAAGTGCTCCACTTATTGACTAAACTCCTCTGGCCTCCGATGTCGTTCTATGCCAAAAAGAAAGAGCAATAAATTACATCTTTATATGTGGACCTCAGGAAGACTAGAGATTATTTTAAAGCCAATAGGGATGAATATATAGAATAAAGCATTAAAGTGTCACATATAAAGCATATTATAGGGATTCTCAACTATAAATTTTATCATTATGCTACTTAATGAATTTCCAATAGAAACTTTTAATTTACATAATGCAATTAGCGAACCACACAAAAAGGCTGCAATTCAGAATATACAAGCTGTGGCTATTAAATAACTCAAACTTTCAGGGTTTGTTTATGCTTCACTACTGATTGGTGCATTCTATGTGTTTCAGGATGGTACACTGTGGCTCCATTGACATAAACCCAGCCACATTATTTAAGAGCCACACCTTGGACATTTTGCAGTGTGTCTGATTAAGTGTTTAAACTGTCATGTCAGTGGTTCTACGAATTCATTTTTCGTGGTGTCTCATATGGCAAAGCCCCATTTAAAATCTATTACGCAGTGAATACTGAACTGAAGCTTGACTTGCGAATCAAATCACATCAAATTTGGTATTTTCCCCAAATCGCTCAGCCTATCTCACAACTGAGATATGCAAAGCTTTTTATAAAATTTTGCAGGGTTGCAACTATAGTTGGTTTTCACTGGTTTAGTCAATAAAAATCAGAAAAACATGAATATGAACATCATCATTTGCCACAGGCCAAAGTTACATCTCCTGGGTCAAAAAGCTGTTCAAAAGTTGTTCATTTTACTAAAATGTAATCCTGGTAAAAGCAGCAAACCATGTTTGCAATTTGTATTTTTGTAAGACATCTTGCATGCTTGCAACAAAACAGTTGTTCGATTATCCAGATAGTTGCAGATGCATTTGCTGTCAGTCAGATTCATCGTAGTTCTAAAATGTGTTCACTCGTTGGATTTTCAAAATGTTTTACAAAATGTACACATGTAAGGAGGCAAAAAACATGACTGTAAACGCACTAACATGGCCACACACGTCCGCACATATCCACATAGTACAAACATTCGCAGTGTATCACATTGGAGACGCAGTGATAGTGACAAACATAAACAGTCCCCCATACACAGACTTCAAACTGCGTATCTATACAAGCCGGCCAGAACCTTCAATGACACACAGCTGCTTACTTGAACACACCTCAACAGGCAGAAACGCTGACAGGCACGTAGGTACTGGAGTGTGCAGTCAAACAGGTGGTTACATAAACTACAAGCAGGCAGGTTCTGCACTCTATCTGCGTCCAACGAACACACAACATACCTTGCAAACGCGTGCCACTCTGGAGTAGAGCACCTTCCCAGCAGCTCCCTCGGCCTCCTGAGCGCGCTCAGTGAAGAACACGTAGACCTTATCGTCTTCTGGGTTATCAGTTTCAGACAGCGGCGCTACCCGCACAAACTGGGCATCTGGAGAGAGGGAGGCACACAAACACAGAAAGACGGGTAAGTTAATGTGCATGTACTGCAATGCAGTCCACCTACGCTGATATGCACGTAAAATGTCAAAGTTTGCAAGCAATAGAGATAGAGCAGAGGGACGATGAAGGTACAATTGAGTTTACAAAGAGCAGAGAGAGGCAACATGCATCTTGTTGTTATCTGCAGCAGACGTGGACAGACCGGTCTGATAAAACACCAACCGGGCTCGCAGGAGATTATTTCACAGATGCTGATGTCGAGCGACAGATGTTCAGTTTACTTCAGAATTTTCAGTTTACAAAGCAAGAAGTAAAGAGAAAGACGGCGAATGGCCTGTTGCCAACGACATACACTGAACAAAAACATAAAGGCAGCACGTAGAGACAATGTTAAGATTCTTATTTCTATTTTTGTGGTTAGAAAACAGTCAAATTTAGCCAATTGTGCACAAACAGTTTCTAGGCTCTTCATCTCAAGACGAACTTTCAAACACTAGGTTAATCCACATTCTGGTCATGGGTGGCTTTTAAAGAACAGTGATCAGATAGTGTGACCAGCACACAAACACTCCTTTGACCAGTGACTATAAAAGTCCACCCTAAAATGCAGCTTTATTCTAATGACACAATTCAATAGATTACAAGAGAAAGACAAGAATGAGCTGCTGGATGCTGGTATGTCAGTCACCAGACACTTGAATGTCCAAAGCCATTGTCGTCTAAGAAACTCTTTTACGACAGCCTGGTGCAACAGACAATCTGCACAACAACATGACCCTGTCCAAAAAAGCATCCCCCAACTTCCCCCAGCGCTTCAGAAACAGTGAGACAACATTTGACAAGCAGCATCAACAACATATTTAACTGCGATGAAGATATGTGACACTAACCCAAATGGTGGACATGCTAACTTGTTAGTCAGAGGTGAAGCGTTTTCAAAAACCAAAATGAGAAGACGAGTTTGCTCCTCCCAGTTCTCTGTATGTTGTTGTCATTGTGTCTCTAGACTCTCATCACCAGAGCCCCAGTGGCCTAATGGATAAGGCACTGGCCTCCTAAGCCAGGGATTGTGGGTTCAAGTCCCATCTGGGGTGTTTGATAGCAGGTACAGCTGTCATCTGCTCATAACAAGCTACTTTTGAATGTATTTAACCCTTAATGCAAACAAACAGCATCTGTTTGCAGCATTTAAATTGCATTTTTGTGTCTCTGGACTAAGACACCTTAGAGATCATAAACAACATGTAAGCTGTCATGGCTGGCTGCGTTCAAGGCCATGACAACAAAATCAACTGACAGGATGAATTTTTTGGTTTGTCCTAATGACAGATGTGCTGTCATAGTTTTCCACAGCAGAGTGGCGCAGCGGAAGCGTGCTGGGCCCATAACCCAGAGGTCGATGGATCGAAACCATCCTCTGCTAATACGTTTTTCTTGGCTTTGTTGCACCAACCTGTGTTGTTTGGAGCCAATGTTTATACAGCCCACATTAGTTGCTTTGTGCTGAACTAATAGGTTAACTAAACCAACAAGAACAAGCCCCAGTGGCCTAATGGATAAGGCACTGGCCTCCTAAGCCAGGGATTGTGGGTTCGAGTCCCATCTGGGGTGTTTGACTGCAGAAACAGTTGTCACCTGCTCATGACAAACCATTTTTGAACATATTTAACCCTTAATGCAAACAAAAAACATCTTTTTGCTAGTCTCTCCCTGCCACGTAAATACAGACTTTCAGGCCTTACAAGCGAGGGTTTGAGTCCCATATTGGACGAGAGACACAACAAAACTCATAACCCAGCAGACAGCCCTGTTGGGATTTAAGTGGTGTTTGTAGTAAAGGGAAGCACAGGGTACAAACCTTCCTTTAGATGACAACTAAAAGTTTTGTAACAGAGAGGGAGCAGGTTTGAAAAAACACAGTATATTTGAACATTGTGGCTGCATCTTCCAGCCTGTCCTGCTGCTGTAAAGTCAGAGTACATGACTGTTGGGGTTCCATCCAAAAAAACATAACAGAATGTTTTATGACGAGAGATGTCGCAGGTTGGAGCAACAAATACCTATTATCCTATGTTAGGAAGATGTTTAAAATGTTTATATTTTTGTTGAGTATAGAAATGTTGCGGCTACAAGTGATAACAATATTAAATAATTTGATAGATTCTGGTTGCAACATCTCATGAGAGCTCTCAGATCACAAACACTTTATTGTTCGTAGGCGAAATTTAGAGCTGTTCCACTCAAAGAGAGACTAGCAGGTGTTTTTTTTTTTTGTATTTTCAGTTTGTTCTCTGTTTTTTTGTTGCACTCACCCTGCAGCCAGGTGGAGTCGTACTGCTCTGTGCGGATGACGTGACGGCTGCCGAGACTACGGAAGAATGCCGAGTCCCGGCTCATGAAGTCCGAGGTGATGCCGGCGTACAGTTCTCCGTCTGCACAGAAAACACAAGAATAAAACATTCTCACAATCGTTTAACTAAAGACATCTGATAAACTTTTCATTTATCATGTTTCAAACTTAGTGCAACTTCTGTAACCAAGTCTTGAAAAACTGCAGAAACCTCATACAGCTATGACACTGTGATGGCGGTTTGGAAACAAAAAAAATCACAATAAGCATCATTTTAGTGAAGATGCAATCATCGATGTGTTTCTGCAAAGAACAACAAACAAACACAAACTCATATACAGGTAGTTGTTTGTCTGATTTCATGACTGATTAGACAAGTTCAGATTCCTTTCCGCCAACTGGTTGACTTTTGCTCAGGAGTGCATGCTCATCCACACCTCGGGGGTATGTTGTAGTCGCCTGTTACAGCCTTGGGTTATGTGGCCTTAATCTTTTTTGGGGTTTTGAATGCAAATTTTTCCCTTCCTTCAAACCGCCCAACCTCTGAACTCCAATCAAGCAGCACCAATCATCGCAGCACCTGTTAAAAGCGCTGCAAAACCGTCACTGGGTGGCAGCTGTTGGGTGTGATGTGAGCAGCTCGCCCATGTGTCTCCTTGGCTGCCTTCCAATATTCATGTTTCCTTACTATATAATATGCCAGCAAAAGATTCATTTTGTCACTCGTGTGCCAAAAATACCAACATGTCCCACCGCATCCGGTCGGATTTTGCAGTATGCAAGCCAGCATGCTTTTCTGGCCCTTCTGAAGCACAATCCAGACAGATGACAGCTTGTGTTGCACTACAGACTGCAACAGTCAAAGCTTAAGATACCTTATGGCAAAGTAGTATCTCCCAGTTGTATGGATACCACATGAAACAGTACGTACTTTGTGCTGTGAGAGCTGTTTGTACTTTTGTGCGATACTCATTTTGTACACACTAGACTGTGATTGTTTCCCTACTGGACATGCAGCTCCACTGGCGGCTTCAACTTGTGCCTGCTCAGGAATTACTGCGCAACTGCAGGACTTTTCTGAAAATGCAACAGCAAGAACACCACCTGGCTCGCTACAGTTTGATGGAGTACTGTTTGTGTCTATTAAGTTTTTGACCAGGAATAACCATTTGTCAAATATAAGACGACCCCAGTGGATCCATATCTGTATTAAAGTTACTTTGGGTGATATGGAAGTTCATTTTGGTAAGAACAACTTGTAGCTTGTAGTAATTGTTAGACACAAGGTTCTCCTTTGTACCTTTTGTTCCAAGCAGGCTTTTTAAACGTTATTATGCTGATGTAGGATAGGTAAGTTTGGTACAACTTCTAGTCAGAAATACTCTTTTTGTTCATATTCCTTTCTTTTGAGTAGCATCCACCACACGCCGTTCCTCCGCTATGGTGTACTTTTGTGAACCCAACAACCTGCTCCAATAAAATCACAACTAAATCTGTTCTGGTTCTGGTTTTATTTCTTACTTCCCTTTCCCATAGCCAGCCGGGTCGTAACAATGCTCCTGCGCTAATTTCTAAGTCATATTTTATTTGGAAACAGTCAACTTACCGACGATGGAGGAGGCTGTTTTCTGGAACGGATCATACGGGCATTTTCCTTTTCCACACTCTGTCTGGCTGTAGGAGAGAGTCTGGTGCTCGGACTGGGGTTAGGAAAAAGGAAACAGAGGTCACTCAAACAGATGAGAAAGTTGTCAGCCTGTGACTCTGTTTATTTATGCACTAATACAATCAAACTAGCAGAAAAGGACTATTTCAGCCAGCTGAACTCTGCTGCCACACACACACACACACACACACACACACACACACACACATGCCACACAGTAAGCAGCTAAGTTGAGGGTAATCGGGGTAAGTGGAGGGATTTGAAAATGTGTGAAGCCCATCTTAAAGCAGTCAGCACCACCAGCTCCTCTAAGAACCATGTCTGAACCTCTGCTCTGATCTCACATGGCCTTTCATAGGATTAGCTGGTCTCTGACACAAAAACCCCACCGCACACATGCACTTTTATATTTTACATCGTTGTGAGAACACTTATGCTATTGTGCATTCCATAAACACTCAGCCCCAAACCAAAACTTAAATCTAACCTGAAAGCTAAAACAGCTCTTTAAATGTCTGTCATTAAGTGTCTTCAATTTCCAGAAACGCTCCCGATGCTAATATCCGAAGCTTAAACTGGGCCTCACTAAGGCCGACTGCATGCAACTTCAAAAACCACAAATGCAGGAATGCACATAACAACGCTCATGCAAAACCCCAAAGTCTTTGATTCCACATAACTGGCAGAGGCTTAGACCTCATACACAAACACACACATGCAGACCCTCATAACTGAGGAAATGTAGAACCAGTAACCTATTTCTGACAAAAATATAACCCACATGTGTCTAAATGATGAGGAATTATGCATTAATCGGAGGGAAAACGGGAGACGCTCTTGTCCTCTAGAACTATTTACAGTGAAGCTGACACAAAAATGTCAAATAAAAAAAGCTGGTGACCACCACAGTGCAGCTTCAATGACAAAAGAAAAACTGTATATATTACAGACAGATGGCACAGGGTGAACCCTGGTGGATATATGGGCATAGGGGCAGACACCACACATGATATTTCAGCTGCTCAGAGGCTCGTGTATAGGGGCAGGGACGCGCAGGACGGTGGGTGGTAGGATTGCTCGCTTCGCAAAGAAATAGCGTGCCGTGCAGTCATTCTGTCAATTTATATATTTATTTCCTACACATATAATACTGAATGATCACGTTAGAAAAACATTTGGGCTAGTTAACTAAGACGCTGCAGCTGTTTGGACGTGATGCAGAGAAACTACATCCAGTGGAAAATGCAGCTAATGTCATATTTGGATGAGCAGTAAGGAAATAAAAACCCATCAACCATAGAAACATTTTCAATATTTAATTAAAATGTGCATCCGCAACACAAACATAGACTGTCTGACAGCCATATGGGATCAGCTTTGGATTTTCACAGCACTTTTTCTGTTTTTAAGGTTCATTTAATCACCGTATTAGTTTCTACTGCTGCTTTTCTTCACTGATGCTACGACTGACGTATAAACAGGTAATAAATCAACGAATAAAACCAAAGTAAGGTGTGTTAGTAAGGTGTTGGACCGCCATGCGCTGCCAGAGCTGCTTCAATACAGTTGGCATTGATTTTACAAGTTTCTGTAACTCTACTGGAGTGACGAACATCATTTCTCCAAAAGTTATTCCCTTGTTTGATGTTGTGATGATCATGGAGGACACAACAGCTCATGAGCTCCCATAGGTGTCACTATAGAGTTCAAGGGTTCAGGTTTTGCCTTTAATGTGTCACCTACCTGTGAGTGTGATGATTATCTTTTATTTACTGGTTTTAGTTATAATCTCACACTGACATACTGTCAAGTTTTGTAATATTTTATGTAGTGTATTTATTGCTCTTGTTGTTTTTAAGGGACAACAGATGCTAATTAGCTGCTAGCTAACTCGAAACCAAGTGCGTCTAGACTTATGAATGTAAAAAACAAAAAGTTATTGTGACAGAGGGACGACTTTCCAGCAAGCAAAATGGCCACACAAAGTAAAGATTTGGATGCATATACAGTATTTGTGCATCTGTAGTCTTACCTGATGGAAAACGCTGGTGGCTATGAACGCACAGCGCGGGTTGAAGGCTCCAGTTCCACACACGTACAGGTGAGTCTGATTAAAAGGCTGCAGAACTCGCAGGAAGTTTGCACACTCCAGCTGTGACCGAGAAAGACAGAAAGAAGAACCACAAAACAATGTAGAACGCACGATGTTTTGCATTTGTGTTTTATGAAGGGAGTGGTTGTTTTACATTACTGGTTGTATTTCTATCACCTGGTAAGAGTAAAAACAGGGGAGGAGAAAAGCTACACGTTATTACAATAACGATGGAGAACATGACCCACATGTCTTCCATTAGTAAGGAAAAACATGATTTTTTTTTAATGTGCAAAAGACCAAGGCTTCACATTCAGCATGAACCTGACTCGCTGGCTCACCAACCGTCCGTCTGGTTTGTGCTTCACGTTTTTATCTGAATAAATCTCACGAGCTTGAATCTCCATATCGTCGCCAGCATCAGTCCGGCTTGTTTGTTTATGGTTTCCAAATGAATCAGATTCATTCAGCTTTAGTTCCGCTTGAGATTGTAATCTATCATGCGACTGTCTTGGTTCATTGTTGCAGACGGTTCTTGTTTCACGTTGCAAACCAGCATCACTGGCCGATCCATTTCTGTGAAGGACTGTGGCCGCTCTGTTGTAGTCGGCGTGTGACATGCTGCTGCCTTTATGCAATCTGTTGTGTTTGTGTGTTTATCTGTGCAATGAGCGCTGAATCACCTCTGGATCCTTCCCAGCCATGAGACATTCTTGGACCCGGTCCGGACTGGCTGGCCAGTACAGCTACAGAAAACACAAAGAGGGAGAAAGAACAGATTTATAACGTGTTTTTATTGCTCGCCCCACGTTTCCGATTGAAGGCTTTCGGGATTGGCAGGTGCTTTACGAGAAAGTGAGGCAGCGAGACTCAGCAGTGACTAATGTGGATGAAAAAAACGCAAGAGGAGCAAGAGGAAGGCTTTTATGTGTCTAAACAGAGGGAATGAAAACCAACTGGCAGCACCGCGGAGAGCTGATAATGGGCCAAACTATCAGAGCAGCAGTTTTAGTGGCTACATGACTAATTATTCTACAATCTGACTGAACCCACAGAGTGAATGAAAACAGTACATGTGCACAGCTATTGTCGCTGCCCATAATCCTCCATCTGTCTTTTGATTGTGTCACCGTTTTACTCACTGTTGGCCCATTCACTGTCAAACATCGATTCACTCCCCCAATTCAAATCACAACTCTAAACTCATCTGTTTAGGACTGCCTTCTCCACCTAAAGCCTATTGTTCTGTCTGTTTAAGTTTACTTATTTTAATGTTGTTTCTTCTAATCGATTGGTCTGATGTATGTACGGTGTCCTTGAGTGCCAAGAAAGGCGCCTCTAAATAAAATGTATTATTATTATTACTGCAAAATAAACCCCTGCACCTCTCTGGGAACAGAACAACCATTGGTCAGGAGTAGAGAGAACTTGAAAATGTCTTTTGTGAAGCATAGCAAACTAAGTATGCCAATAATAAGAATAGGGAAAAGGATAAATGAAATGAAAGTAGAATGTCTTTAATTATCTATTTTACAAAAATGTAAAAACCTGGAATCAACATGTAAAACATTTTTCCAAGTGCCCACACGTGTTACCAATACTGGAAAAAAGGTAACTCTGCATTCTGTAGATATTTAACTACTTGTAATCTGTTTCCATTCTGGTCCCCTATTTGCTCTGTGTAAACACAGCATCCACAACATCTCAGCGCAGTTTAGCCACAAAACCGAGATTTGTTTTGTCAAGTGACGATTGGTCACAGCTGAGTCACTAACGGCTTCATAGTTGTGCCAAGAGGGAAGTTTTTTTTTTTTTGATGAAACATCACTGAAACATTTCTCCACGTTCCCTCAGGTGTGACCAATACTGGAAACAATGATGGCTCTACATACTTTCTAATTTAACTACTTTCATTCTAATGTGTTCTCAAACTTCTCTCCGATCCGCTCTGTGTAAACACACCCTGCAGTTCAACCTAGTTCAGCCAAAAAGGCAGTGAATTTCTGCCATGTGACTATTTCCAGACGATGAGTCAGTCACGGCTTCTTCTGTTGAGCGCAGAACAGGATCGGGTTGTGCAAATGCTTATTTCTTGCCAAATTCTTGAATTGAGACGTGTCGAATAAAGTGATTTTGTTGAAACATGACAATTTCTAGCGTTGATTTGGTCAAATTTTCCACTGGAATGACACATCACAGACGAGTAATTTGAGGACCGCCGGAGAGTTGAAAATGCTAGAATCGTTTCCAGCTCTCGCTCTGATGGTGTAATTTTTTTTGAACGTGCCTTTCAAACGAGCAGCTGTCTTTAGTGGTTGAAAAGCTTAAATAAACCATCATAGGATGTGTTTGTTGTCTGAATGACCACACCTCTAGTATCATTTACTCTAATCATAAACCCGAAATATGAGGCTTTTATTATAGATACTACTATTTGTGTAATTGCACCAATTACTGATTTGATGTTCAGTTCTGCCAAACTGTTTGTCACAGCAGTGAGTTTTTGTTTGTACTGGAGACTAAGCATTTATGATGTCATTTAATCCTGCTCATGGAGAACAACTGAAGAGAACCCAGCTCGACTCCAACAAGACTCAAGCTGCAGATTTCTCTACAAGATTTATATTGATCAGGACAGGCCCAAGATAAACGCTTTTCATTCTATGTTGAAAGAACAGTTCTCAAAGATGAACAGAAGCTGACGTACACGCTTCAGTTCTCTTTTTGACAGCAGTCAGCCCACAGGCCACTTCATTATCCCTTTAATATTCTTGTGGGCTCTATTTATCCTGGTTATAAATACCAAAAAAATCAATGACACTCTTCCAAAATACAATTTTTCCAACCTCTGTAATGGCAAAGTGAGACATGTTGCAAGCAAAGTGGAGGTGGTCCAACAACGGCTGGAAAAGTTAACAGATGTGTCTTCTGTACATTTTTTTTTTTAAGCAGACTGGAGGCAGAGAATTACCGAAGGCCACGTGTTTAACAGCGGATTTTATTGTGGCTGATTAAAACACACAGCTTGTTTTAGAGTCTTGCTTCGGGTCTGTTTAGGTTCGGCTGGGTGGAGTGTTTCAAACACATGAGCTCATGCTGGATTCAGGTAAGGCAGTCGCCTACAAAAATGAAAAACTGGATGACTTCACCAGTAGATCGATATCTCAAAAACCGATCAACAGAACAGCATGGTGGAGCTAATACAATCATCTCACATATGGTGACTTAACCACATTAAACGGAACTGTTTGTGCGCATGCAAACGTAATCAGAAGTATAATTAAAACTTCAAAATGGGGTTTGTTCCACTGCTGCTTTTATGTCAAGACAATAGGGGAGGATAAACCAGAGGAGCAGATAATGGGCGACAGAACGAGGTGAGGCTTAGTGTTAAATGGCAGCTACATGACTAATCTGAATATTTCTCCAAGCCGGTCATTTCCTCGGAGAGAAGAACAACGAGGCAAAGATGGAATCGATAAGAGAACGTCCTCACTTGTCACTGCAAACCACAGAAACTGCAAAGTGTAGTTAAGCTTCAAACAACTCAACTGTAAAAGGGCTCTTTAATAGAGAAATAAAAGACAAGAGATCTGTGCAAAACTGTCATCTGAATTTGTTTAAATCTACAAAATGTGACACCAGCTCGTTGAAGGTGATTAATGACAAAACGATGGCGGTTTCAGGAAACAATTTCTGGATGTCCAGTAATCGTTCCCCGATGCAGCCGTTCCCGCAGAGCCCGGTGCGGAGCCGAGATTAGAGATTAGATTAGAGACCACGCTCCCCCCCCCTTATCTCCAAATACCACACACTGACAGGAACATGGACCACCACTAACGGTGGTGTCTCACCAGGTAAAGACTGTGGTTGATGGGAGTCTACGCTTCTGTGGAAAGCATGCTGGTTGTCAGTTTATTCAGGAGAATGTGGGTCAATAAATCAAAAAAAAAAAAGAGTGTTAATTTTCTGTAATTTGGTTGTGAATCCAAGAAAGAAAATGGAGACAAAAGAAGCAGTGAAAATGCAAAAAGACCAAATATGAAAACAGAAAGCCACAGACATATACTCAAACCCTTGGTGACCCTTTGTGTAGTGGTGGCTGCCAGCTGCAGACTCACACAGAAGGAATGCGTTGAGGTTTTCTTTTTTTCTTTTTTTTTTGGGGTCTGATCAAAGAAAAATGTGACTGAAGGCAACAGTGTCACGTTCAGGCGCTCTGCCCTGAACTGGGATGGAATGGAGGGACTGGTTACGTGTCTGACGCTCTGTGCCAGTGTTCAGTTATATTGAGTAAATATAAAGTTGTGAGGAGATGAAGTTAATAAGGTGTTGGTGTGCTGATAAGAAGCTATAGATGTTAATAGCAGAAGAAATAAACAGAAATGGAGAGAATATGGCACTGTGAGGGATTTTAACACCACAGGGAGGGAAAAAAAAAAAAGTGCACACAAGCTGGACTGGTATAAACAGACTATAAATACTGTATGTACAAACATGTAACTTTACAACCCGCACGGAGCTGAGTTATGAAGCCTATCTATCCTTTTGTTGGCTGACTGCCCGGCTGAGTGGGTGGCTGGCCAGCGTGACTGCTGTCTGTCTGTCTGTCTGTCTGTTTCGCTGGCTGTTTGTCAGCTCGTCTACCTGTTTGGCGCGCTCACAGCCTGCATGTACGTCTGACTGATGAGGGTATTGATTTGATCCGACGGGGGCAGAGTTATGAAAAGGCAGCACTGTTGCTGTCCTTGCTGTGACCCTGAACTCAACCTGACTGACTGGTAATCCATCACCGTGTCTGTCTGGCTGTCTGGAGATTGTGTTAAAGCTGCAGCACGAAACCGGAGACTGTAACAAAACGTAGATCTATATAGAAGAAAGAGGCAGGTTGTTTTAAACAGACTTCCACCATGTATCTGAAAGTTGCTCTGTTTCTTGTTGCAAATCGTGGTTTGGGGTCCTGAAGGTATAAATATTAGGGACACTGAAGCTGGATGTGTTTTGTTGCATGTCAGGCGGGAACTTGAGCAGCTGAGTTGAGTTTAAAAGGCATGCTATTAAAATGACTTTATTCTATTTGTCTCATTTATAAATTGGCCAAAAATTAACCATTTGTTGTACCAGATTCTCCAAAAAAAAAGAAAAATCTGTGCACCTTGGTGCAACCAGGAAGCATTTATTGACTCAGGTGTGACGAACAGTCACATAAAAAGTCTGGTAATCTGCAGACTGTATTTATACAGAACAGGTAGAAGACAACTGAAAATTTAAATAGTTAAATATGAATAGTAACTCAGTTTTTGTAGATTTTCAGAAAGCTTTTTTTTTGTTGTTTGCTTGAGATAATATCAATCAAACTGAAGTTGAGTGGATTGGACTCAGTAGAAATGACAAAAATAGAGATAAGTTAAGTTTGATTGATGTTGTCTCAGGTAGACGATGGAGACGTGGGTTTTCTAAAGGTTCGTGAAGATGGAGTTCTGTTTTTGCAAATGAACTCTTCATATAAAGTATGCAGAGCCTCCATTTTCCTCCCCAAAACTATGAACACCTGTGGGCACTTGGAAAAATGTCCATGATGATTCCAGGATTTTTCAAGTTTTGTAAAATAAACAATCAAAAAAATTCAACTTTTGTTGATTAATGACAATGTGAGAGGGCCTTTCTCTACTTCTAGCAATAGCTTTTCTGTTTCCATAGAGGTGCAGGACTTTATGCTGGAGTGAAAAATGAGCCTACAGTGAGTAAAAATGCACCAGGAGAAACTGGGACTTACTTAAGGAATAAAATATTGCATTTACAGGCTTCACACTGTGTTCCCCGGTGATCACAGATGTAAAATGCAGGTGAACTGGTGCTTTTTTTTTGTTCGTGGCTTCATCCAAATTCAAGCTGCTCCTGTCTGAAGTATAATATCTCTCTATTGCTGCTCAAACAAATGTGGTGCTCAGCAGTGAACGTGGACAGTGAAGGAAGTAGGAATGCAAGAAATGTGCAGAAAATTATTTGTGGCCTGACTGGAACCCATTATGTTTCTATCTGTTCTTTGGTTATGGAAAGTTACTACCACAAAGGTTTTTGTATTTATTTATATATTTTTTACCTCGCTCAGGTTGTCTGGGTAACACTTTTTTTTGTTTTTTGTTTTTTTTTACGGGTACATACAGATCTAAGTTCTACAGCTGCTTGTTAAGCTTTTGAAAATCATCCAAAAATTTGCGGAAAACAAAACAACACTCGGTTATCAGGCCAAACATAAGTCACCCTCTTGTGAATAACTGAGTTTTTGGAGAACATGGACAAGCCTGCAGATTTACAGAGTGGCTTGTTGCAAAGGAGGCCAAATCTGAAAGACGTGAGAGATGGCACAATGTCATTCTGCTGTTCAAACACTGTTTCTGTTTCTATGGTTAAGTGAGAAAAGAATTGTGTTAAAGGAAGTAAGAGCCAGAAAAGTATGAAGTTCTGTAATAAGAGTGAAGAATTCCAGAGAGATAAGACATCACAGGAGGTATTCGTCAGACGGGTGTGACTTTCCTCTTAAAGCATCAGTAATTATCGTGTCTCTGTTATCGGAATCTGCTGTCATTTGAGTGTTTATTGTGTCTATTTTGTCATCATCCCCATTCGTGCATCAACAATCAGCACCTCTGCAGTGTTGTGCTCAGCCTCAGATGGCATGTGAATGTTTGTCCTCCAGTTCTTACCTTGCGTGGGTTTTGTGTTATGTCGTCCAGGCTGGTAGACAGAAGGTTATCTTTCATGGCCACATACAGACGCCTCCGGTCTTCGTCAGGCAGCAGCGAGTGCAGGTCTCCGGCCACCAGGGGCAGCGTCAGCAGCCGGCCGTTCTGGATCAGCTCTGACAAGGAGGAGAAGAAAGACAACAAAAGACAGAATAAGAGGTTTATATTTAAAAAGAACATA